CCTAACCTAACACTAACCTAACACTAACCTAATCTAACCTAACCTAACACTAACCTAACACTAACCTAACACTAACCTAACCTAACACTAACCTAACACTAACCTAACACTAACCTAATCTAACCTAACACTAACCTAGCACTAACCTAACACTGTATAGCGTGCCTTACAGCACCACCACTATTAGGCCCTAACCTAACACTAACCTAACACTAAACCTAACACTACAGCCATAACGTACCTTACAGCACCACCACTATTGACCCTAACCTAACACTAACCTAACACTAGCCATAATGTACCTTACAGCACCACCACTATTGACCCTAACCTAACACTAACCTAACACTAGCCATAACGTACCTTACAGCACCACCACTATTGACCCTAACCTAACACTAACCTAACTTAACACTAATCTAACTTAACCTAACACTAACCTAACCTAACACTAACCTTAATGTAACTTACAGCACCAGCCACTATTGAACCTAACACTATCCTAACTTAACACTAATCTAACTTAACCTAACACTAACCTAACCTAACACTAACCTTAATGTAACTTACAGCACCAGCCACTATTGAACCTAACACTATCCTAACTTAACACTAATCTAACTTAACCTAACACTAACCTTAACGTGACTTACAGCACCACCACTATTGAACCTAACACTAATGTAACTTAACCTAACACTAACCTTAACGTGACTTACAGCACCAGCCACTATTGAACCTAACACTACCCTAACCTAACACTACCCTAACCTAACACTACCCTAACCTAACACTACCCTAACCTAACACTAACCTAACCTAACTACCCTAACCTAACTTAACACTAACCTAACACTAACCTAACTTAACACTACCCTAACCTAACACTAATCTAACCTAACCATTACCTCACAGCACCTCTACTATCCAACACCGTGGGGGACGAGGTGGGACGTGAGGACTACCCGTCGGCTCAGCTCCTCGCCCTCATCCTGGAACTACTGGCCTTCTGCGTCGAGCACCACACCTACCACATCAAAAACTACATAGTCCAGCGAGATCTGCTCAAACGAATTCTTGTCCTAATGAAAACCAAACACACATTCCTCGTACTTAGTAAGTGAACAGGGTGGTCGGCTGTCCTGTTAGTGAGTCTGTCCTGTTAGTGAGTCTGTCCTGTTAGTTAGTCTAGCCTGTTAGTGAGTCTGTCCTGTTAGTTAGTCTAGCCTGTTAGTGAGTCTGTCCTGTTAGTCAGTCTAGCCTGTTAGTGAGTCTGTCCTGTTAGTTAGTCTATCCTGTTAGTGAGTCTGTCCTGTTAGTGAGTCTGTCCTGTTAGTCAGTCTGTCCTGTTAGTTAGTCAGTCTGTCCAGTATGTATCCAGGGATGTATTTAGCCTCAGTTAGTTAATTAGTCTATCAATTCTTATCCATTGTTGTTTCAAATCTTTTTCTGGGTGTTTTGTTTATATACACACACTGGTCCCTCGATTAACCAGCGGTTCCATTAACGAAATTTCGGTTAACGAATTAGCTCCCATAAGGATTTCAATTCCATTAACGAACAGAACTTCGATTAACGGCAGCCTTACGAGAAACACGCTTTGTTGTGCTCATCGGCTGATCGGCTAGTCCGCCAATACAGTAATTGGTGCTGTGTTTACATTCGTTTCCAGTGGAATAAATATCAAGAAAGTTGTGCTCTTGAATATTTTTTGCATTTTTTATTTTAAAATTATTAGTCATTCTGAAATTTAGTTAACATAATGATAATATACAGTGCATAAATTATTATGAAACACGAAGAAGGTATTAGAACCAGTGAACTCTGTAAAGAATATGGCATGTCATCATCGACTGCCTCTACAATCAGCTGTTTGATATGTAAACAAAGCTGCCGGGAATTGTTTTTTTTTTTTTTACGGGAATTAGCCAACCCGGGCACAGGTCAAACGACCCACAACGGAGCCTGGGGGGCAAAAAAAAAGAACGGAAAGAAATTGTAAATATAGAAAAGAAAGGTTATACTGTATTAATCTACACCACGAAGATGCCGGAAAACCAGCTTTTTAAAGTGAAACAGATTGTAAGAGCATGGAAACACAGAAGAAGGCAGAGCATTCCACAGCTTGGCTGTGTGAGGAAAGAAGGAGGCACTATAACGGGTTATTATAGTGTGACCGACATCCACAGAGAAATGGTGGGTACCGTGGGCAAGACGTGTGTTACGAGCCCACGGCCTTACCGGCAGTACACAGAATGCCAAATCCACCGAACATTGCCCGTTAAAGTACCTGTAATAGAGAGAGAGTGAAGCATCATTGTGGTGAAGAGAAAGGGAAGAAAGATTATCAACTAAAGGAGGAGAGTTAATAAGACGAAATGCCTTTGATTCCACCCTATATAACAGAGCCACCCCAGATATGAGGGCAGTACTCCAAGTTAGGACGAATGAATCCCTTATAAACTTGGAGCAACTGCTCAGGAGTGAAGTAGCTGCGGCATCTGTACAGCATTCCCAACTTTCGGGAGGCAGCTTTAGTTATACTAAGGATGTGTGATTTCCAGGACATATTGGAGGAAATGGTGAGGCCTAACATATTTATTTCAGAATTTGGGAGGATGATAGCGTCCTGAAATGTAATTGGTGGGAGATCGTCTAATTTACAAAGTGTAATTGGTAAATATTGAGTTTTGTTACTATTGAACTTAACCAAGTTTGTATCTCCCCATTCAGAGATGCTGCACAGATCCGCGTTGATAGAAGTAATGATATCAGTTCTAGAAACAGATCTAGTTTGAGAGTTAGGAGGAAGGGGAAAATGTGAGGAAGAGTGAAGAGTAGAATCATCGGCGTAAGAATGGATAGAATTAGTTGTAGTGTGAAGTAAATCATTGATAAAAAGAAGGAAGAGAGTTGGTGAAAGAACAGAACCCTGTGGGACACCACTATTGGTAGAGAAAGAGAGAAATCGATCCCTCGACAACAACTGCCATGGATCGGTTCTCATGGAAGCTAGAGATGAGAGAACAAAGTGGGGGAGAGAAACCAAAAGAGGGAAGTTTAGATAGCAAAGGCTTGTGCCATACCCTGTCAAATGCTTTGGAGATGTCGAGGGCCACGACAAAAGTTTCCCCATAATCCCTAAGAGAGGATGACCAAAGATGGGTGCAATAGGAGAGCAGATCACCAGTAGATCTTGCCTGGCGAAAGCCATACTGGTGATCCGACAAAAGAGAAAGGCGTTCAAGGCGACGGAGAAAATGGGAGTTCAAGATAGTTTCGAAAATCTTAGAGAGGGATGAAGTTAGGACAATGGGGCGTTAGTTAGAGGGATTAGAATGGTTACCCTTCTTCGGGATGGGCTGAACCAAGTAAGTTAAAATACAGTATTCTATTATTTATTATACAGTATACTGTACAGTATAGTTTATATTTAGTGTTTTGTTAATTCTATAACCGATATACAGTACTTTGTATGTATACTTTTTCTGTGAGTTGGAACCAGTGACCCAATATCCCATTGAAATAATAGGTTCAGTTGAGGAATTTTTTGGTTAACATCCGACTCTGTGGAGCCAATTGTGTTCATTAATTGAGGGACCACTGAATATTGTTGTTGTTGTTGTTATTGTTATTATTGTTATTATTATTATTATTATTATTATTATTTAACATCAAAAAACAGCTGGAGTTCCTGCATCATGTTGTGTTATTTGGGTACAATCTTGTGTATGTGTCATGTCACCTACTGTGTCTCATGTCACCTACTGTGTGTCATGTCACCTACTGTGTCATCTACTCTTGTCATGTCACCTACTGTGTCATCTACTCTTGTCATGTCACCTACTGTGTCATCTACTCTTGTCATGTCGTCTACTGTGTTATCTACTCTTGTCATGTCACCTACTGTGTCATGTACTCTTGTCATGTCACCCACTGTGTCATCTACTCTTGTCATGTCATCCACCATGTCATGTCACCTACTGTGTCATCTACTCTTGTCATGTCATCCACCATGTCATGTTACCTACTGTGTTATCTACTCTTGTCATGTCACCTACTGTGTCATCTACTCTTGTCATGTCACCTACTGTGTCATCTACTCTTGTCATGTCACCTACTGTGTTTCATATACTCCTCTCATGCCATGATCTGTGCACCACATGTCGTTTGAACTCACTAACTACCCACCTAACTACTGTGTGTGTGTCGTCAGGTGCTCTCCGGTTTATGAGAAAGATCATCGGTCTCCGCGACGACTTCTACAACCGCCACATCGTCAACTCCAACCTGTTCGCCCCGGTCGTTGACGCATTTGTCCGCAACAACGGTCGTTACAACCTCCTGGACTCTGCCATCATTGAGATGTTTGAATACATTAAAGTGGTGAGTGTGTGAGAGAGTGTGAGAGAGAGAGAGAGAGAGAGTGTGAGAGAGAGAGAGAGAGAGAGTGAAAGAGAGAGAGAGAGAGAGAGTGTGTGAGAGAGAGTGAAAAAGTGAGAGAAAGAGAGAGAGAGAGAGATGAAGATCGAATAATGACATTTATATTAATTTCACATGAGTGTCAAGTCAGGCCTTATGTAAAACACCCAACCTAACTCAACCAAAACCCAACCAAAATCCAACCAAACCCAACCAAAACCCAACCTAACCCAACCAAACCCAACCAAACCCAACCCAGTGATAGTTCCAGCGCATTTCCAGGGATGAGAGATTTCTGGGTAACGAAACAACTCTCTCAAGGCCGGGAACAACCCCCTCCCCACCTCCCCACCCACCCCCATCCCTGGAATATTCCGGATAATGTGCCGCCTCTGACAGTCGTTACCAAAGCCGTAATATTCCAGAATATTCCTATCTTTGGGAGATGTTTCTGGTTTTTGGTGAAGTTATATTTGTAAAGCCATTAAAATTGCCCAAAGATCTGTAGTTTAGAAATACTCAAATTTTGTCACACACACACACACACACACACACACACACACACACACACACACACACACACACACACACACACACACACACCTTTAATGATTGACCCTAATACTCCATCTCATTCACAGGAGGACATAAAGGCGTTGTGGGTGAGCGTGGTGGAAAAGTTCGGAGAGGTGCTCGCCCAGGTAGACTACGTACAAACCTTCCACGCTCTGCGCATGCGTTACGAACAACACCAGGACCGGCTCAAAGACAGAGACAGGGCCGCGTCCCTTGATGGGTAAGTGCCACCTGGCCCTCTACTCTCTTGATGGCTCCTCCACTCGAGTGCCAGATAAACTTTGTCTCTAATGACGTCTGATACGTACAGGGATGTCTCGGAGATTTATACTCACTTCTTTAGGGTCCCATCGGCCACCACTTGTCAGCGTGCTAGGCGTGCCGTAAGTGATGGACGATGGTGGCGTTGTGATGCTAACGTTTACACAATCTCACTCAAAAATAAAAAAAAAACGTCAAAAATCAAACCGAACTAAACCAAGGCAGTGTCCGTATATCTCATCGAGGCTTCCGTTATTTTTTTTTAATTGCGTTCTGCATGCGCGAGATGATTAGTGCTTGCAAGGAAACTGATATATACATAGTTATTGATCTTGACAATATAACCAATGCCATAAAAAAATAACACTGGCTAAACCATGATCCAATAACATTATGTTTTTTTCTTTTTCTTCAATACTGTTGGTCAATATAATTACTTTTGGTTAACACTGGGGGGGGGGGTTATAAGCCCTTGTTCCGTGATGATGTGGTTGTTAACCTTTTCCACACCCCCCATAGGTGTGAAAACGGACCAGCTACACCTGAAACTAAAGATGAAGAGAGTTTGGACAGCAAGTACGTGGTCATTTGCTAGTATTTAACACCTTAACAAAATAAGATTATTGTAGCAGTAAGGTGGATGTGTTTTAGACAGTAGGTGGATGTGTTTTGGACAGTAGGTGGATGTGTTTTGGACAGTAGGTGGATGTGTTTTGGACAGTAGGTGGATGTGTTTTGGACAGTAGGTGGATGTGTTTTGGACAGTAGGTGGATGTGTTTTGGACAGTAGGTGGATGTGTTTTGGACAGTAGGTGGATGTGTTTTGGACAGTAGGTGGATGTGTTTTGGACAGTAGGTGGATGTGTTTTAGACAGTAGGTGGAGTAGGTGGATGTGTTTTGGGCAGTAGGTGGATGTGTTTTGGACAGTAGGTGGATGTGTTTTGGACAGTAGGTGGATGTGTTTTGGGCAGTAGGTGGATGTGTTTTAGACAGTAGGTGGATGTGTTTTGGACAGTAGGTGGATGTGTTTTGGACAGTAGGTGGATGTGTTTTGGGCAGTAGGTGGATGTGTTTTAGACAGTAGGATGTGTTTTGACAGTAGGTGGATGTGTTTTGGACAGTAGGTGGATGTGTTTTGGGCAGTGGTGGATGTGTGGCAGTAGGTGGATGTGTTTTAGACAGTAGGTGGATGTTTTGGACAGTAGGTGGATGTGTTTTGGACAGTAGGTGGATGTGTTTTGGGCAGTAGGTGGATGTGTTTTGGACAGTGGGTGGATGTGTTTAGACAGTAGGTGGATGTGTTTTGGACAGTAGGTGGATGTGTTTTAGACAGTAGGTGGATGTGTTTTGGACAGTAGGTGGATGTGTTTTGGACAGTAGGTGGATGTGTTTTAGACAGTAGGTGGATGTGTTTTGGACAGTAGGTGGATGTGTTTTTGGACAGTAGGTGGATGTGTTTTTGGGCAGTAGGTGGATGTGTTTTGGACAGTGGGTGGATGTGTTTTAGACAGTAGTGGATGTGTTTGGCAGTGGTGGATGTGTTTGGCGTAGGTGGATGTGTTTTGGACAGTAGGTGGATGTGTTTTGGACAGTAGGTGGATGTGTTTTGGACAGTAGGTGGATGTGTTTTGGACATGAGGTGGATGTGTTTTGGACAGTAGGTGGATGTGTTTTTGGACAGTAGGTGGATGTGTTTTGGACAGTAGGTGGATGTGTTTTGGACAGTAGGTGGATGTGTTTTGGACAGTAGGTGGATGTGTTTTGGACAGTAGGTGGATGTGTTTTGGGCAGTAGGTGGATGTGTTTTGGACAGTGTGTGTTTGGACAGTGGTGGATGTGTTTTGGTGGGTGGATGTGTTTTGGACAGTAGGTGGATGTGTTTTGGACAGTAGGTGGATGTGTTTTGGGCAGTAGGTGGATGTGTTTTGGACAGTAGGTTGATGTGTTTGGGCAGTAGGTGGATGTGTTTGGACAGTAGGTGGATGTTTTGGGCGGTAGGTGGATGTGTTTTGGGCAGTAGGTGGATGTGTTTTGGACAGTAGGTGGATGTGTTTTGGACAGTAGGTGGATGTGTTTTGGACAGTGAGGTGGATGTGTTTTGGACAGTAGGTGGATGTGTTTTGGACAGTGGGTGGATGTGTTTTGGGCAGTAGGTGGATGTGTTTTGGGCAGTAGGTGGATGTGTTTTGGACAGTAGGTGGATGTGTTTGGGCAGTAGGTGGATGTGTTTTGAACAGTAGGTGGATGTGTTTTGGACAGTAGGTGGATGTGTTTTAGACAGTAGGTGGATGTGTTTTGGACAGTAGGTGGATGTGTTTTGGGCAGTAGGTGGATGTGTTTTAGAATGGAGTGGATGTGTTTTGGACTGGTGGATGTGTTTTGGGCAGTGGGTGGATGTGTTTTGGACAGTAGGTGGATGTGTTTTGACAGTAGGTGGATGTGTTTTGGACAGTGAGTGGATGTGTTTTGGACAGTAGGTGGATGTGTTTTTGGAGGGTGGATGTGTTTTAGACAGTAGGTGGATGTGTTTTGGGCAGTAGGTGGATGTGTTTTGGACAGTAGGTGGATGTTTTAGACAGTAGGTGGATGTGTTTTGGACAGTAGGTGGATGTGTTTTTAGACAGTGTGGATGTGTTTTGGGGAGGTGGAGGTGACAGTAGGGAGTGTTAGACGGGAGTGTTTTGGACAGCAGGTGGACGTGTTTTGGACAGCAGGTGACGTGTTGACAGAGGTGGAGTGTTTGGACAGGTGGATGTGTTTTGCACAGTAGGTGGATGTATTTTGGACAGTAGCAGTAGGTGGCTGTGTTTTGGACAGTAATGAAGACAGTAAGAAAGTAGTAGACAGTAACAAGACAGTAGTAGACAGTAACAGGACAGTAGTAGACAGTAACAAGGCAGTAATAGACAGTAACAGGACAGTAGTCGATAGTAACAGGACAGTAATAGACAGTAACAAGACAGTAGTAGACAGTAGTAGACAGTAACAAGACAGTAGTAGACAGTAACAAGACAGTAGTAGACAGTAACAGGACAGTAGTAGACAGTAACAGGACAGTAGTAGAACAGTAACAGGAGAGTAGTAGACAGTAACAGGAGAGTAGTAGACAGTAACAAGACAGTAGTAGACAGTAACAAGACAGTAGTAGACAGTAACAAGACAGTAGTAGACAATAACAAGACAGTAGTAGACAGTAACAGGACAGTAGTAGACAGTTACAAGACAGTAGTAGACAGTAACAAGACAGTAGTAGACAGTAACAGGACAGTAGTAGACAGTTACAAGACAGTAGTAGACATAACAAGACAGTAGTAGACAGTAACAGGACAGTAGTAGACAGTTACAAGACAGTAGTAGACAGTAACAGGACAGTAGTAAGTTACAAGACAGTAGTGCAGACAGTAACAGGACAGTAGTAGACAGTAACAAGACAGTAGTAGACAGTAACAGGAGAGTAGTAGACAGTAACAGGACAGTAGTAGACAGTAACAGGACAGTGGTAGACAGTAACAGGACAGTAGTAGACAGTAACAGGACAGTGGTAGACAGTAACAAGACAGTAGTAGACAGTAACAGGACAGTGGTAGACAGTAACAGGACAGTAGTAGACAGTAACAGGACAGTAGTAGACAGTAACAGGACAGTAGTAGACAACAGGACAGTAGTAGACAGTAACAGGACAGTAGTAGACATAACAAGACAGTAGTAGACAGTAACAGGAGAGTAGTAGACAGTAACAGGACAGTAGTAGACAGTAACAAGACAGTAGTAGACAAGTAACAGGACAGTAGTAGAGAGTAACAGGACAGTAGTAGACAGTAAAAGAGAGACAGTAACAAGACAGTAGTAGACAGTAACAAGACAGTAGTAGACAGTAAAGCAGGACAGTAGTGAGACAGTAACAGGACAGTAGTAGACAGTAACAGGACAGTAGTAGACAGTAACAAGACAGTAGTAGACAGTAACAGGACAGTAGTAGACAGTAACAGGACAGTAGTAGACAACAAGACAGTAGTAGACAGTAACAGGACAGTAGTAGACAGTAACAGGACAGTAGACAGTAACAAGACAGTAGACAGTAACAGGACAGTAGTAGACAGTAACAGGACAGTAGTAGACAGTAACAAGACAGTAGTAGAGACAGTAACAAGACAGTAGTAGACAGTAGCAGGACAGTAGTAGACAGTAACAAGACAGTAGTAGACAGAAGCAGGACAGTAGTAGACAGTAACAAGACAGTAGTAGACAGTAACAAGACAGTAGTAGACAATAACAAGACAGTAGTAGACAGTACCAAGACAGTAGTAGACAGTAACAGGAGAGTAGTAGACAGTAACAGGAGAGTAGTAGACAGTAACAGGACAGTAGTAGACAGTTACAAGACAGTAGTAGACAGTAACAGGACAGTAGTAGACAGTAACAGGACAGTAGTAGACAGTAACAGGACAGTAGTAGACAGTAACAGGGCAGTAGTAGACAGTAACAAGACAGTAGTAGACAGTAACAACAAGACAGTAGTAGACAGTAACAGGACAGTAGTAGACAGTAACAGGACAGTAGTAGACAGTAACAGGACAGTAGTAGACAGTAACAAGACAGTAGTAGACAGTAACAGGAGAGTAGTAGACAGTAACAGGACAGTAGTAGACAGTAACAGGAGAGTAGTAGACAGTAACAAGACAGTAGTAGACAGTAACAGGACAGTAGTAGACAGTAACAAGACAGTAGTAGACAGTAACAGGACAGTAGTAGACAGTAACAGGACAGTAGTAGACAGTAACAGGACAGTAGTAGACAGTAACAGGAGAGTAGTAGACAGTAACAAGACAGTAGTAGACAGTAACAAGACAGTAGTAGACAGTAACAGGACAGTAGTAGACAGTAACAAGACAGTAGTAGACAGTAACAGGACAGTAGTAGACAGTAACAGGACAGTAGTAGACAGTAACAAGATAGTAGTAGACAGTAACAGGACAGTGGTAGACAGTTACAAGACAGTAGTAGACAGTAACAAGACAGTAGTAGACAGTAACAGGAGAGTAGTAGACAGTAACAGGACAGTAGTAGACAGTAACAAGACAGTAGTAGACAGTAACAGGACAGTAGTAGACAGTTACAAGACAGTAGTAGACAGTAACAAGACAGTAGTAGACAGTAACAGGAGAGTAGTAGACAGTAACAGGACAGTAGTAGACAGTAACAGAGAGTAGTAGACAGTAACAAGACAGTAGTAGACAGTAACAAGACAGTAGTAGACAGTAACAGGAGAGTAGTAGACAGTAACAGGACAGTAGTAGACAGTTACAAGACAGTAGTAGACAGTAACAAGACAGTAGTAGACAGTAACAGGAGAGTAGTAGACAGTAACAGGACAGTAGTAGACAGTAACAGGATAGTAGACAGTAACAAGACAGTAGTAGACAGTAACAAGACAGTAGTAGACAGTAACAAGACAGTAGTAGACAGTAAATATACAGTAGTACAGCAACACAGTACAAAAGACAGTGGTAAGACAGTAACAGGACAGTAGTAGACAGTAACAAGACAGTAGTAGACAATAACAAGACAGTAGTAGACAGTAACAGGACAGTAGTAACAAGACAGTAGTAGACAGTAACAGGACAGTAGTAGACAGTAACAGGACAGTAGTAGACAGTAACAATACAGTAGTAGACAGTAACAAGACAGTAGTAGACAGTAACAGGACAGTAGTAGACAGTAACAGGACAGTAGTAGACAGTAACAAGACAGTAGTAGACAGTAACAAGACAGTAGTAGACAGTAACAGGACAGTAGTAGACAGTAACAGGACAGTAGTAGACAGTAACAAGACAGTAGTAGACAGAAGCAGGACAGTAGTAGACAGTAACAGGACAGTAGTGAGACAATAACAAGACAGTAGTAGACAGTAACAAGACAGTAGTAGACAGTAACAAGACAGTAGTAGACAGTAACAGGACAGTAGTAGACAGTAACAAGACAGTAGTAGACAGTAACAGGACAGTAACAAGACAGTAGTAGACAGTAACAGGAGAGTAGTAGACAGTAACAAGACAGTAGTAGACAGCAAGATAGTAGTAGACAGTAACAGGACAGTAGTAGACAGTAACAGGACAGTAGTAGACAGTAACAAGACAGTAGTAGACAGTAACAAGACAGTAGTAGACAGTAACAAGACAGTAGTAGACAGTAACAGGACAGTAGTAGACAGTAACAAGACAGTAGTAGACAGTAAACAACAGTAGTAGACAGTAACAGGACAGTAGTAGACAGTAACAAGACAGTAGTAGACAGTAACAGGACAGTAGTAGACAGTAACGTAAAGAATAATGAAGAATTGGTGGTAAGACTGCTGATGAGTGTCTACGACCTGTTTTATGGTGTTTAGGGGTGTTTTATGGTGTTTTATGGTGTTTTAGGGTGTTTTATGGTGTTTTGTGGGTGTTTTATGCTGTTTTATGGTGTTTAGGGGTGTTTTATTGTGTTTTATGCTGTTTTAGGTCGTTTTAGCGTGTTTTAGGGAATTTTAGGGTGTTTGTTTTAAGTTAAATATGGTTTATGTTTGGTTTAGGTTTAATTCTTGTTCTCTCTCATTCTAACACAATCCAACCTGACCCAACCAAACCGAACCTAACCTAACCTAACCTGACCTAACCAAAATTCTTCAGGTAACGTAAGGGTTAGGTTAGGTTGGGTTAGGTTCATTATAGAATAATTTATGTGGCTGGGAATAATTTTACCCTTATTGATGATGTGAAGATTAAACATTCCCTGTGGATACTTTCAGAGGGGTTAATCTATAGGTGAGCACTTGGGGTTAATCTATAGGTGAGCACTTGGGGTTAATCTACAGGTGAGCACTTGGGTTAATCTTCAGGTGAGCACTTGGGGTTAATCTCAGGTGAGCACTTGGGAGTAATCTTCAGGTGAGGACTTTGGGGTAATCACAGGTGAGCACTTGGGGAGCTAATCTTCAGGTGAGCACTTGGGGTTAATCTACAGGTGAGCACTTGGGGTTAATCTTCAGGTGAGACTGGGTTAATCTACAGGTGAGCACTTAGACACAGGTGAGACTTGGGGTTAATCTACAGGTGAGGATCTGGGGGTTAATCTACAGGTGAGCACTTGGGGTTAATCTACAGGTTAGGACTTGGGGGTTAATCTACAGGTGAGCACTTGGGGGTTAATCACAAGTGAGGACTTGGGGGTTAATCTACAGGTGAGCACTTGGGGTTAATCTACAGGTGAGCACTTGGGGTCTACAGGTGAGCACTTGGGGTTAATCTTCAGGTAGGACTTGGGGTTAATCTACAGGTGAGCACTTGGGGTTAATCACAGGTGAGGACTTGGTGGTTAATCTACAGGTGAGCACTTGGGGTTAATCTACAGGTGAGCACTTGGGGGTTATCTACAGGTGAGCACTTGGGGGTTAATCTTCAGGTGAGGACTTGGGGTTAATCTACAGGTGAGCACTTGGAGATCTTCAGGTGAGCACTTGGGGTTAATCTACAGGTGAGCACTTGGGGTTAATCTTCAGGTGAGCACTTGGGGGTTAATCTTCAGGTGAAGCACTTGGGGGTTAATCTTCAGTGAGCACTTGGGAACTTCAGGTGACGGGGTTAATCTTCAGGTGAGCAATTGGGGTTAACAGGTGAGCACTTGGGGGTTAATGACAGGTGAGCACTTGGGGTTAATCTACAGGTGAGCACTTGGGGTTAATCTACAGGTGAGCACTTGGGGTTAATCTACAGGTGAGCACTTGGGGTTAATCTACAGGTGAGCACTTGGGGGTTAATCTTCAGGTGAGCACTTGGGGGTTAATCTACAGGTGAGCACTTGGGGGTTAATCTTCAGGTGAGCACTTGGGGGTTAATCTTGACAGCATAGACACTCGTTCCTGTGTATTGAAAAGCTCATTGATGCTGCACAAGGTGAGGCCAAGTAGTACTGTATGCTAAATGGGTATTGGCCACATTCACTACCTACCTATTAATCCACCCTACATAATAGGTCCTGGTGTAATTTTACTTGGTCCCGGATTATAAAGAACGTTATTGGTTAGGTTAGGTGGCCATTGTGATGCATTTAACTCATAATAGACCAATAGTCGATTATGTTTAAGTGGCATAATAGTACGTGTGTCTTCTCTGCCTTCATCTCCAGGCTGGGGAGTGTTGTGAGAGGCGCCCGGTACAGAAGAGACGTGAGAGATCTGGACGAGGAGGAGGAAATGTGGTTCAACAACGACGAGGAAGAGATCGACGAGACAGAACCCTTACTGGCATCCAGAGACACGACCTTGGCGCCCGTTGGTTAGTTTGGGACGTCTTGTTGGTGACCTGGTAGGGTAATTAGAGTAGTCGCTGGATCGTTAGTGGATTTATCACGTTCATACTGTAGTCAAAAGATGGTTGGTCTATCATAGGAGGGTTGTAATGTCAACCTTGTACACAGGGAATGGTTTTACTATGGTGTATGACCTATGACGCACCCTGTACAGAAGGGACCTATGACACACCCTGTACAGAAGGGACCTATGACACACCCTGTACAGAAGAGATCTATGACACACCCTGTACAGAAGGGACCTATGACACACCCTGGCTGCAGAAGAGATCTATGACACCCTGTACAGAAGGGACCTATGACACACCCTGTACAGAAGGGACCTATGACACACCCTGTACAGAAGGGACCTATGACACACCCTGTACAGAAGGAACCTATGACACACCCTGTACAGAAGGGACCTGTGACACACCCTGTACAGAAGGGACCTGTGACACACCCTGTACAGAAGGGACCTATGACACCCTGTACAGAAGGGACCTATGACACACCCTGTACAGAAGGGACCTATGACACACCCTGTACAGAAGGGACCTATGACACACCCTGTACAGAAGGGACCTTTGACACACCCTGTACAGAAGAGTTCTGTAAACACACCCTGTACAGAAGGGATCTATGACACCCTGTACAGAAGGGACCTGACACCCTGTACAGAAGGGACCTATGACACACCCTGTACAGAAGGGACCTATGACACACCCTGTACAGAAGATCTATGACACCCTGTACAGAAGGGACCTATGACACACCCTGTACAGAAGGGACCTATGACACACCCTGTACAGAAGAGATCTATGACACACCCTGTACAGAAGGGACCTATGACACACCCTGTACAGAAGGATAACCTCTCTCTCTCTCTCTGGGTTTATTAATTATAACTTCATTTTCCTTCATTCTCAGACAAAGTTGACAAGGAGAATGGGAACGGGAAGATGACGGCAGCGACTGGTAAACAAAGCCTCCTGCTGAACAACGGCAACAAAGAGAATAACAACACCGCCAGCACATTGTCTCCTGAGAGCAACAAATCGCCCGTCCCTGCCCGCAAGAAGGTCGGTGTACAGAAGTGTCACTCGTCAATTTTGTCCTTTTTTCTTCAGAAGGGTTACTCTGGGGTCACTTGTCAATTTTTTCCTTTTTTATTCAGAAGGGTTACTCTGGGGTCACTTGTCAATTTTGTCCTTTTTTATTCAGAAGGGTTACTCTGGGGTCACTTGTCAATTTTGTCCTTTTTTCTTCAGAAGGGTTACTCTGGGGTCACTTGTCAATTTTGTCCTTTTTTGTTATTATCGTTACCTATTATTGTTGTTATCGGTCATTATCATAACCACTTATTATCATCATTATTATTATCACTATTATTATTATCATCAACATAAGAACGTTAAGAATGGATGAAACAGTAACTTTTGGCCCATACTAGGCAGGAGGCCACATCTACACCCAACCCCTATGGTCCATACTAGGCAGGAGGCCCCATCTAAACCCAACCCCTCTGGTCCATATGCCAGGCAGGAGGCCACATCTACACCCAACCCCTATGGTCCATACTAGGCAGGAGGCCACATCTAAACCCAACCCCTCTGGTCCATACTAGGTAGGAGGCTCCATCTACACCCAACCCCTATGGTCCATACTAGGCAGGAGGCCCCATCTACACCCAACCCCTATCACTCATATATCCATCCAGCCTGTGTTTGAAGCTATCCAGCATATTCGAGTTAATGATGATGTTTGGTAACTTGTTCCACTCATGTTTACCTATCTCGCGCCTAAATCTAAATTTGTCTAATTTAAAACCATTGTTAAGAGTTTGCTCCTGGTTCTATAGTTTAAGTACCTTTATTATATCACCTTTGTTTAGCCCTTACTTCCATTTATACACCTCTTATCATATCGCCCCTCACTCTACGTCTCTCGAGGGAGTGCAAATTAAGATGCTTTAACCTGTCTCTCTACTCAAGGTTCTTAATGCCCGGGATTAGTCTTGTCATTCTCCTCTGAATTCTTTCTAGGGATGCTATATCCATTCTGTAGTACGGTGACCAGAATTGAACTGTGCAATCCAAGTTAAGTCTCACAAGCACAAGATATAGTTTCAGGATGACCTCCCTAGTCTTGTAACTAACACTCCTTTGTACGAATCCAAGTGCTTTATTAGCCTTGTTTCGAACAAATACACATTGTTTGCTTGGTTTAAAATTCCTGCTTATCATTACTCCTAAATCTTTCTCACAATCGGATTTCTCTATAACATTATTGTTCATCTGGTATCTGTTTTCCCTGTTTACATCTAGACAGTACTTTACATTTTTCCACCTTGAATTTCATCTGCCATTTTTCAGACTATTGAAAAATTTGTTTAGATCTTCCAGTAGTTTTGCAGAGTCATCGTCAGATTTAATTACACGTCCTATTTTAGTGTCATCAGCAAATTTACTATGTTGCTGTCTACGCTGACATCTGTCATATATACAGTATATATAATAAATAGTAATGGTCTAAGTATCGAGCCTTGGGGTACTCCACTAGTGACGTTGCTCCAATCGGATTTAGTGCCGTTAATGCTCACTTGCTGTTTCCTGTCCAGTAACCACGCCCTAATCCATTTTAGAATATCTCCTCCAATGCCATGAGCCTCCACTTTTTGTATTAGTCTTTCGTGGGGGACTGTCGAAGGCTTTGCTAAAGTCGAGGTATACCGCATCATTATTGTGCCCGTCGTCCACTGACTTGAAAACAGCTGAAAAGAATGTTACTAGATTAGTTAGACATGAACGCCCGTTTGTGAAGCCATGCTGGGAATCATTGATCAACTTGTGCTTCTCCAGGTGGTTTCGAATAGAGTTTGAAATGATTGCTTCCAATAATTTGCCTGCAATTGATGTTAAACTGATTGGGCGGTAGTTAGAGGATAGTGATCCATCTCCCTTCTTGAAAATTGGTATAACATTCGCTATCCTCCAGGATTCTGGTACAACACCTCGTTTTTAAGGACATGTTAAACAACTTTACTAGGGCATACTAAGCTCTTCCTTACATTCCTTTAATACTCTGGCAAATATCTCATCAGGACCTGGCGACTTATTAGGCTTTAGTTTGTCTATTTGCTTACTAACATCGTTACAAGTCACTACTGTCTCGCTTAATCTATTTACTTCACTATCTCCGTATATAGTCGGTGCCTCGGGTATCATGTTTAAATTTTCAGTGGTGAAAAATACCTGCTCAAATTAATTATTGTTAGTTTCTCCATAGTTACCAGTTAGCTCGCTGGTATTGGTCCAATCTTTTCTCATGTTTTAGTTTGATACATTTCAAAGAATCCCTTGGGGTTTGACTTCGCCTCCCTTGCTACTTTCAGTTCATTATTCCTCTTTGTTTTTCCTATCTCGGTCTTAACCCTACCGGCCAATACCTTATAATAATCTCGGAGGTAAACTTCACCACGATTTATTCTCCTACCTATAGCCTTCCTTTGTCCAATAATATTCTTTAAATAATTATTTATTCATTTAGGGTCATTGTTGTTTGATCTGAGTTTTCTGTATGTTATGTTCTGCCTTTGTGCATTAAGTAACTCATTATTTAAATTCTTGTTGTGGAACTCGTCAACCTCAGATCTCGTGATCAGGTCATCCTCAACCGTCATATTTTGTGAGGGTGTCGTTGTCAGGTCTCCGGGTAAAGTGAGCTCGGTGTTAGGTCAATTAGTCGCCAGGTCAATTAGTCGCTAGGTCAATTAGTCACCAGTCAATTAGTCGCCAGGTCAATTAGTCGCTAGGTCAATTAGTCGCCGGTCAATTTGATATGAATGGTTTACAATTTGAACCTAACCTAACATTCACAGAGCGCGATATAGGATTGTGCATTGCCTTGTGTTATCTATTTCTGGCTATATTTTGTTGAGTAGTGACCGTGTTATCTTGTGATATCCTCTCTTCTTGTTGTTTGTCACCCTTGGAAATCCCTGGCTTTTGAGTCTCCTGTTTTAAAGATCCTGATTAGGTTGGCCAGGAATAGCTTGACCGGCGACAAATTGACCGGACGCCAGTGAGGTCGCCCTCTGTGGGTACATTGTGTGAGGTCCATCCCCAAGTGTGATACCCCTTCTCTTAGCTGCCTTTTCAACCTATCAAAGTTTGTCCTTCTGAAAACAGGGACTTTAATGGAATTTTCCTTGTGACTGACATTGTTTACTTTGAGTCTCACTTCTTTGTGATCGCTGTTGGCAAGTTCGTTCCCGACCATGACATTAGTAATGAGGTTTTCTCTGTTTTACCCCTGTTTTACCCCGGGTGGGTTTGGTTATATGTTGACTTAGGAAACAGTCCTGAACTGTTCAAGAAAATCCTCTGATTCTGAGTTACCTGTAAGGTCAATCCAATCTATTTGGCTCAAGCTAAAGTCGCCTACTATACAGACTTTGTTGTGTCTGGAAGCCCTGCGCATTTCCCAAATAAGTCGTTCATTAACTGTATCAAGATTAGGAGGTCTATATATTACTGCTGTGATTAATTTTTCCCTGCCGTCTATTAATTCTATTTGAATTATTTCTGTATTCAGTTCAGATTTTATTACCTTATTTATTTCACACTTCAGATTATCCCTGACATAGATTGCTACTCCGCCTCCTTTCCTAATCTGCCTATCGGTATGGAATAATTTGTAACCTGCAATTTGGTATTCGACAGGTAACTCTCGTGAGTCTAGGTTGATCCATGTTTCGGTGAATGCCATAACTGTATATCAATTTTTTCGGTACATACCAACGGCCAACGCCCTAATTTCATCCATTTTGTTTCTCATACTTCTACTGTTTGCGAAGTAGACGTTTAAGTTAGTCGTGAACTGGGTCCTCTCTTTGACACGTTTAGGTTTTAACTCGGTCTAATTTAGTTTTGTCATCATTCCTAACACTACTTCCCTGTAACCTTTCACTCTGTTTACCCGCTCCCACTGCAGTATCCTCCTCCTCTGTGCCCATATGCTCCCCTAGCAGTTTAAAGACATCGACATCTTTTGAACTGCCCTCTTGAGAGAGCCAGCCAGGGTTGTCACCCCATCCCTAGCAAAAAAGTCTCTTCTGCCGTAGAAGTTGTCCCAATTGTCAATGAATGGGACTGATATTGACTTGTGATATCTGTCAAGACAGCCGTTGACACCAACTGCCCTTGACAACCATTCATTGCCAACTCTCCTTCTAGACAGGACACCACATATGATAGGGATCCCTCCCTTCAACCTAATACGTTCTATCGCTGTCTTGAACTTATCAAGAAGCTCCTCACTCCTACACCGGCCAATATCGTTGCCTCCTGCACTAAGGCAGATAATGAGTTTGTTCCCATTATCAGACAAGATATTGTCCATCCTGTCAACTATATCCCCCACCCCAGCCCCTGGCAAACACACCCTCATCCTATTTTTATTTCTACCACAAAAAGCTCTATCCAGGTACCATACCTGGGAATCGCCAACATTTAAGGTTTCCGTACCTTCCCTCCCAGCCCTGTCCCTGACTAACTTAACGTCCAATTCGTCCATCAAAGGACTAAAAGAGATTTTACACTTAGCTGTTGTCGTTTCCTTGGCGTCTTTTTTCACCACCATTTTGGTTGTTCTCTCAACCTTCCATTTACCTGAGCCTTCATCAGACACGGGACTTTCCTTGTCTCGTGTCTTCCTCCTCACAATCACTTCCTTTAATTTCAAGTTTTCGTCCTTGACCTTCACTAACTCGGCCCTCAGAAGGACACAGACCTGCTCACAAGTGGCATTAGCTATTACTGACAATTGATCCCAAAGGAGCTAAGTCAAATGTGACCTCTCCTCCAGCAAGGGGATGAGACACCTCTCTACGAACATACGCCTCAGGAACTCTCCATCATCCAAACACGATCCTTGATGGGGTTAGGTTAGGTTATGTGAAGTCAGGTTAGGTTAAGTAATGTTAGGTTATGTAAAGTCAGGTTAGGTTAAGTAAGGTTATGTTAGGTTATGGTAAGAGTATGCCAGGTTTCAGACTGTTGTAGGGTAAAGCTGTACAGTACAAATGTTGGATGTTAGGGCCAGGGTGATTAGGACCTAATCCAACCTATCCTAACATGACTTAACCTAATCTATCCTAACATGATTTGATCTAACCTAACATCACTGAACCCAGTCATGGGCCACATTATGATTTAGGTATTTTTCTGCGGGCCAACCCACCAAAATTTATATCCTACCTCACCCAAAAGTTATGTTAATATTGTATTGTCACGGCCAGTGAAGCAGTTTATCCTCCCGTCCACCTTATGATATTTTCAGTTTACAATCACGGTCTTTTTCCCATTCATGAAACAAATCCATCATCATAATTTTTAAGTAATATGTTAATGTTTCTTGGCATTTAACACTAGATGAGTGAAGCAGTGTATGAATACATTGGTTTTTCCTACAGTTGCAGCATTTGTCTTACTTATGAGACACACCCACCAGAATAATGACAATGTTAATATATGAGGAACCACAATGAAACAACCTACAGACACATGTATTTATTTTACTATATACATATGGAGAGACCTAATCAGACAGTAATGAATAGATGTACAGATGCCGTAGCTACTTCACTCCTGTACAGTTGGTTCAAGTATATAAGGGATTCATTCGTCCTAACTTGGAGTACTGCTCTCATATCTGGGGTGGCTCTGTTATATAGGGTGGAATCAAAGGTATTTCGTCTTATTAACTCTCCTCCTTTAGTTGATAATCTTTCTTCCCTTTCTCCTCACCACAATGTTGCTTCACTCTCTCTTTTACAGGTACTTTAACGGGCAATGCTCGGTGGACTTGGCATCCTGTGTACCGCCGGCGGCTCGTAACACACGTCTTGCCCGCGGTGCCCACCGTTTCTCTGTGGATGTCGGTCACACTATAATAACCCGTTATAGTACCTCCTTCTTTCCTCACACAGCCAAACTGTGGAATGCTCTGCCTTCTTCTGTGTTTCCATGCTCTTACAATCTGTCTCACTTTAAAAAGCTGGTCTTCCGGCATCTTGGTGGTGTAGATTAACACAGTATAACCTTTTTCTTCTCTATTTTCAATTTCTTTCTGTTCTTATTTTTTTGCCCCCTGGGCCCCGTTGTGGGTTGTTTGACCTGTGCCCGGGTGGGCTAATTCCCGTAAAAAGTAAGAAAGAAAAAGAAGATAGAACAGACAGCCAGGCATGAAGGATGAGGTAGTATGGAGAGAGACAGTCTGTCAACCTTAGTTAATTCCCAAGTGACTCACTGCCACGTAGCAGCTAATCCATCAAGACCCGTAAACTCACACGTTAAAATGTTTATATTGTTGACTATTTATACTTATTTCACTGTTACATTATCATAGTTACTTACTCTTATGTGATGAAACAGTAATGAATTGTTTGTGAAGATTATTCCTTTAATAAATATTGCTTTACTCACCATAAACTGGCTGCATCTACCTGAACTGCTGGCCACATTAAATACAATTTATCAATCACTCTGGGGGATGCACAAATACACGATTCAGGCTGTGGGTTGCCAATGCCTGACTTGACAAGACTTAACCTAACCTAAATTACAAAATGGTTCTTCCTTATTTATTTATTTATATTTTTTACTTCAGGTTTAGACTTGTGAGAAAAGTTGCCATAGTTATGTTTGTAAATACTGTGGAGGCTAATGCCATTATGGGTGACTGTAAATATAAAGTTACGAGTCCAACTAAAAAGTATGACTTGAGAAGGTTATAGTAGTGTGTGTGAGGTAGACTGTTTCTGTAAAGGTAAACACTTATGCCCTTGTTTCAGGTGAGTCTTGTGGCTTATGACGAAAATTCTGATGAAGAAGAAGACGAAGAAGAGGAGGAGGAAGTTGGGGAGGAAGATCAGGAGGAGGAGGAAGAGGAGGAGGATGGTAATATTCCGTCTGCCAAGAGACCACGATTAAGCAGCGATTGAGGGCGTACGAGCGGCTGAATCGGCAGTCTGTAAACTATGGGTTTGGCCGTGGTGCAGTGGGCAGGGTCATGGGCGACTATCACCCACCCCAGGAGGCAGGCACCGCCGCCGGCCCATCCAAGCTGCACCCACTGCCCACCCGCCCACCTCGTGTACATAACCCGCACAATGCCTCACATCCACGTGTACAAATCCTTCTGTATATGTGAGCCAGCAGCAGCTCTGGGCCCCACTGGACCCGTGCCACCGTGACCAAGAAATAATGGACATTTTAATGGAATATTTTTATATAGTGTAAAATTGTTATTGACAGTGTTAGTACTAGTGTGTGTGTGCTGAGGGCCTAGAGACGGTAGTGAGGCCAGACATTAAAGGGAGCAAGATTGCACGGACTCTACCCTCTCTCTCACTGCCCCGCGACGTCCCGTTGCCGCGAAGGCCCCCGCGTGGCGACCCCCTCCCCCGAGAGAGACCGGCGGGTGCATCGCTCGGAGGCACGGCGGGGCTGCTCCTCCGTGACTCGCGCGATCAGCAGCTAAGATAATCTCAGTATTGTGTCTCGCAAGTTTTAGTACCTGTCGTCTTGCAAGAAAGAGTCCAAGAACGCGTACGGTAGTGGGCGAGGACGCACGCGGGGGGGCGAGCCGGGCGTGCGGACAAGATGGCTGGCAACACCGGTAGATGGCAACACAGAAATGCATTTACAATCATCACAGAATGTTGTCATCAACCATCTCATTCATCATTACACTTCATGCTCTTTATCATCTCTACTCTACTGTCTTGAGAGAACATTCACATCTTAAAGACCATCATTATGGCCCTTCATGAGGACATGTAGGGACCACTTATCTCTCTCTCTCTCACACGTGCCACGACTTTACCTTCTTTATCCAGGGTTCAGTTAACCACAACACCAGATGTACAGTTTGTCTGAGCTGGTAGAGCGGTGCTGTACGTCCATGACAGGTGCCGTCACCGTCAAAAGTCAAGCCATATTTATACATTTGTTGACCTACACCTTGAAATACAGTACAGGTACAGAGAAACAGTACAGTGTTGTGACTTGTTACCTGGGCTACAGACATAGTAGTGTGTTAAGAACTTGCTCTTGTAAAAGTTAGTGACCTGTAATCAGAGGTAACTATTATCAGGCTATAGCTCGTGTGAGATCTTCCTGGAAAATGAAAACACTCGGAGAGATTTCTTCCATTTCTCTTGACTCAGCTCGTTGACTGATGATCGCACACGTAGAGCTCGACGATAGGTAGACCATGCCCCCACAGACAGCTCGGCGATAGTAGACCATGTCCCCCCACCCACCCACAGACAGCTCGATGATAGGTAGACCATGTCCCCTTACCCACCCACAGACAGCTTCGACGATAGGTAGACCATGTCCTCCCCCCACAGACAGCTCGACGATAGGTAGACCATGTCCCACCCCCACAGACAGCTTGGACGATAGGTAGGAGGTAGACCATGTCCCACAGACAGCTCGACGATGGGTAGACCATGTCCTCCCCAGACAGCTTGACGATAGGTAGACCATGTCCCCCACAGACAGCTTCGATGGGTAGACCATGTCCCCCCACACCCAGACAGCTCGACGATAGGTAGACCATGTCCCACCCCCACACACACTGCTCAACAGAGGGAATGGATTTGCTCAGTAACTCCTGGACAAGAGAATCAGTTTGAGAGAATGATGTCCTCAGGGTTGGCATGTGGTGAATTAGAGTCCCAGTTCTAACCCAGGTTCCCTGTTCTAATAGGTTCCAGTTCTAATAGGTTCCCCTGTTCTAATAGGTCCCAGTTCTAATAGGTTCCCTGTTCTAATAGGTCCAGTTCTAATAGGTTCCCCTGTTCTAATAGGTTCCAGTTCTAATAGGTTCCCTGTTCTATGGTCCTAGTTCTAATAGGGTTCCAGTTCTAATAGGTTCCCCTGTTCTAATAGGATCCCCTGTTCAATAGGTTCCCCTGTTCTAATAGGTTCCAGTTCTAATAGGTTCCCCCTGTTCTAATAGGTCCTAGTTCTAATAGGTTCCAGTTCTAATAGGTTCCCTGTTCTAATAGGTTCCCCTGTTCTAATAGGTTCCAGTTCTAATAGGTTCCCCTGTTAGGTTCCAGTTCCCCCTGTTCCCAATAGGTCCTAGTTCTAATAGGTTCCCCTGTTCTAATAGGTTCCCTGTTCTAATGGGTTCTGTTCTAATAGGTCCCCTGTTGTAATAGGTCCTAGTTCTAATAGGTTCCCCTGTTCTAATAGGTTCCCCTGTTCTAATAGGTTCCCCTGTTCTAATAGGTCCTAGTTCTAATAGGTTCCCCCTGTTCTAATAGGTTCCCCTGTTCTAATAGGTCCCAGTTCTAATAGGTTCCAGGTTCTAATAGGCCCCAGTTCTAAAAGGTTCCCCTGTTCTAATGGGTCCCAGTTCTAATTGGTCCCAGTTCTAATAGGTTCCAGTTCTAATAGGTTCCCAGTTCTAATAGGTCCCAGTTCTAATTGGTCCCAGTTCTATAGGTTCCAGTTCTATAGGTTCCCCTGTTTTAATGGGTCCCAGTTTTAATAGGTTCCCAGTTCTAATAGGTTCCCCTGTTCTAATGGGTCTCAGTTTTAATAGGTTCCCCAGTTCTAATAGGTTCCAGTTCCTAATAGGTTCCCTGTTCTACGTGGTCCCAGTTTTAATAGGTTCCCAGTTCTAATAGGTCCCAGTGTACAGTCCTGTGTCTAGGTCCCAGTTCTATAGGTTCCCTGTTCTAATGGGTCCCAGTTTTAATAGGTTCCCAGTTCTAATAGGTTCCCCTGTTCTAATGGGTCCCAGTTTTAATAGGTTCCCAGTTCTAATAGGTTCCAGTTCTAATAGGTTCCCCTGTTCTAATGGGTCCCAGTTTTAATAGGTTCCCAGTTCTAATAGGTCCCAGTTGTAATTGGTCCCAGTTCTAATAGGTCCCAGTTCTATAGGTTCCCCTGTTCTAATGGGTCCCAGTTTTAATAGGTCCCAGTCCTAATAGGTGACACATAATCCAACCATTACAAATTGAAGTTGTTAAGGGCTTGAAACCCATTAGGAGAGCCCCAGTTCCAATGGTTGGGTTAGGTTAGGTTGGGGCCTGTTCGTTACCTAGACCTGTTTGGTTAGTCACCACCCGTCTTGGGGCAATCATCGAAAAGACTTACGTACGACCTGGGGGTAAAAAAAAAACTACTTCCTTCCTTCTATTGTATTTTCCTTGGCATACCCCATACCAAGATGCCCCAGGTTTTCAGGTCCTGGTAAATAAGGCAGGCTCGAAATACAGCAGCGACCAATAGACCGGAGTGTATACGTTGAGTTAGTTTTAAAATTTGTGTTGGGTCAATTTTTTTTTTTTTTTTTAGACATTCGGACAACAGGGATCATAATTACACATTATCCTGGATTCACTACTACTACTACTACTACTTCTACTACTACTACTACTTCTACTTCTACTATTTTGTAAGGGAATATACTTGAGGTCTTTGATTATTTCCTGATTTGCATTTGGTTAGTCTCCAAAGCTACTAATCCTACTTCCCCAAAATTGGAACACTCTCTACGGTACCAGTCGAGTCGTGTGGTAAAGGAAACGCGATTTTTCCAATACCGTACGTGGCGAAGTTGTGACCAGTTAGCGTAACCACCGAGAATCGCGTTGCTTTACCCCGACTAGATTGACGTAACGAGAGGAGAGGTGGCTTTGTGGCACTGGAACCCTAACCTACTGTGCGTTCGTTAATAATTAAAGATCTTGTGAAGGGGGAATTGATGAGGGACATAGTGTAGATGGAGCCCCAGTTTATATCTTATTAAAAAAATAAAATAAAAAATCTTGTTTTAGTTTGATTTAGTGTACATAGATGAATGGATTAAAGCCAGGATAATTAAACCAGGTCAGATAATCCTGGGTTAACTTAACTGTGATATTTTGTCATGTTAATTAGTATCATCATGCAGTAAATTATCTTGATTTGCTGACCTATATGATGTCAACAATTATCCCCCTCCCCCTTTTTTTTATATATAAAAGTTGAACATTAACACATTATTGATTACCAGAAATATGGTTGATTTTTGGCCTCTGAGGCACGATGATAATTTCTCCAGATTTCACTAAGATGCAATAGTGAAGAGACTGCTTTCACTGAGAGTTCATTTTATAATGAAGTGTTGTGCGTTCATTTCTAAAATTTGGTCCGCACGAACCCGATTTGGTCTTTATTTAAGGTGCGCCGAATCCTCGCTTAGTTCGGTATAGTTGTGTGGGGGGAGAGCTGTAGGTCTATCGAATCGCCCCAGAATAATGAATCGCGAATATGGAATTAGCGAGGTTCGAGTGTAACAAAGTTTCCCTGGGGCTTCCTACCACACACACACACACATACACACACCTCCGTCACCAACCATCATCATTACAAGCAACAGCACACACACCTCTGTACAGCATCTTCTCAAAACTATCAGTCTTTGTTATACATTATGAGGGCTGTTTTGTAGAAACTTATAAAGAGAAATAATGAATAAAATGGGAATAATTTTGGACACTTTGCGTTACCCCGAGGTACTCTACTGAACAACAAAAACTTGACATTAATTGTCTTTCATTTACCCTTACAGTTTATAGTGGGTTCTAGCCCATACCCAGACATGGTTAATGGGTTCTAGCCCATAGCCAGACATGGTTAATGGGTTCTAGCCCATAGCCAGACATGGTTAATGGGGTCTAGCACATAGCCAGACATGGTTAATGGGTTCTAGCACATAGCCAGACATGGTTAATGGGTTCTAGCCCATACCCAGACATGGTTAATGGGTTCTAGCACATAGCCAGACATGGTTAATGGGTTCTAGCACATAGCCAGACATGGTTAATGGGTTCTAGCACATAGCCAGACATGGTTAATGGGTTCTAGCCTCCACTCATAGTTAATGGGACAGTTTCATTGTAGGAGACAGTACAGCTTAACTTGATATATAATGAAGTGAGGTATAATGAGTCATTTATGAGTCTCCATCCAATGTTGAAGTTTATTATGAGTAAAGGCACAGATGAACCACACTTTGGCAACTGAGTTTGGATTATTATTATTATTTTTATAATTATTATTAGTTTTATAATTGTTTTTATTATTATTAATATTATTATTATTATTAATGTTGTTATTCTTATATTATTATCATTATTCTTATTATTAATATTATTATTATTGTTATCATTTTCATTATTATTATTATTTATATAGAGAACATTTCTCCATTTAACCCATTAATAAGGGTTTCACATCTAACTTACCCGATATAATGGACTTTCCTCTCAATATAGTCCGTTAAAAAGAGGTTTCACTATTTTATTTATTTTTTATTTGTTTGTAATATAGAACTTCTCATCACACTTCTACCCTGTTAAAAATGACATCGTGTGTGTGTGTGTGCGCGCTCGCCAAGGTCTGCCGTCCACGTGTAAGCCAAGGCTGCCGCCCACGAAGCTGGTCTGCCGCCCACGCAAGTCAAGGTCTGCGCGTCGCCGCCCACGCAGGTCTGCCGCCACGCGGTAAGCCAAGGTGTGCCGCCCAACGCGCCGCCCACGGCAGGCCTGCCGCCACGCGAAGCCAGTTGCCGCCCACGAAAAGGCCTGCCGCCACGAAGCAGGGCGCACGAAGACAAGGCCCGCCACGCGGCCGCCGAAGCCAGCCGCCGCCCACGGGCAAGGTCTGCCGCCACGTAAGTCTCTGCCGCCCACGCAGTAAGCAAGCCGCCGCCACGTAAGACAAGGCCTGCCGCCCACGCGGTAAGCCAAGGTCTGCCGCCCACGGTAAGACAGAGTTCGCCGCCCACGGTAAGCCAAGGTCTGCCGCCACGGTAAGACAAGGTCGCCGCCACCGTGTCGGTGCCGCCCACGGAAGGTCTGCCGCCCACGTAAGCCAAGGTGCCGCCCACGTAAGCGGTGCCCACGTAAGCCAAGGTGTGCCGCCCACGTGTAAGCTGCGCGCACGAGCCAGGTCTGCGTCCACGTGTAAACGAACATAATGAAGCAAGAACAGAGGGAAAAATCGACAAATCCACGTCTGGTCTGCCATGACAGCACTGGCGGAGAGAAACAAGCAGTGGCCAGTACGCATCATTCAACCACAACATTGAGTTAATTTATGTTATTAGTAAGGTCTTTATGTCTCAGAGGACAGTATAGCCAGCTAATACTGTATATGGTATATTATTCTGAAGGTGAGGACAGTATAGCCAGCTAATACTGTATATGGTATATTATTCTGAAGGTGAGGACAGTATAGCCAGCTAATACTGTATATGGTATATTATTCTGAAGGTGAGGACAGTATAGCCAGCTAATACTGTATATGGTATATTATTCTGAAGGTGAGGAAATGTAGCCAGCTAATACTGTATATGGTATATTATTCTGAAGGTGAGGACAGTATAGCCAGCTAATACTGTATATGGTATATTATTCTGAAGGTGAGGACAGTATAGCAGCTAATACTGTATATGGTATATTATTCTGAAGGTGAGGACAGTGTAGCCAGCTAATACTGTATATGGTATATTATTCTGAAGGTGAGGACAGTGTAGCCAGCTAATACTGTATATGGTATATTATTCTGAAGGTGAGGACAGTATAGCCAGCTAATACTGTATATATGGTATATTATTCTGAAGGTGAGGACAGTATAGCCAGCTAATACTGTATATGGTATATTATTCTGAAGGTGAGGACAGTGTAGCCAGCTAATACTGTATATATGGTATATTATTCTGAAGGTGAGGACAGTGTAGCCAGCTAATACTGTATATGGTATATTATTTTGAAGGTGAGGACAGTATAGCCAGCTAATACTGTATATGTATATTATTCTGAAGGTGAGGACAGTATAGCCAGCTAATACTGTATATGGTATATTATTCTGAAGGTAAGGACAGTATAGCCAGCTAATACTGTATATGGTATATTATTCTGAAGGTGAGAACAGTGTAGCCAGCTAATACTGTATATGGTATATTATTCTGAAGGTGAGGACAGTATAGCCAGCTAATACTGTATATGGTATATTATTCTGAAGGTGAGGACAGTATAGCCAGCTAATACTGTATATGGTATATTATTCTGAAGTGTGAGGACAGTATAGCCAGCTAATACTGTATATGGTATATTATTCTGAAGGTGAGGACAGTATAGCCAGCTAATACTGTATATGGTATATTATTCTGAAGGTGAGGACAGTATAGCCAGCTAATACTGTATATGGTATATTATTCTGAAGGTGAGGACAGTATAGCCAGCTAATACTGTATATGGTATATTATTCTGAAGGTGAGGACAGTGTAGCCAGCTAATACTGTATATGGTATATTATTCTGAAGGTGAGGACAGTATAGCCAGCTAATACTGTATATGGTATATTATTCTGAAGGTGAGGACAGTGTAGCCAGCTAATACTGTATATGGTATAATATTCTGAAGGTGAGGACAGTGTAGCCAGCTAATACTGTATATGGTATATTATTCGAAGTGAGGACAATAGCCAGCTAATACTGTATATGGTATATTATTCTGAAGGTGAGGACAGTATAGCCAGCTAATACTGTATATGGTATATTATTCTGAAGGTGAGGACAGTATAGCCAGCTAATACTGTAGGTATATTATTCGAAGGTGAGGACAGTATAGCCAGCTAATACTGTATATGGTATATTATTCTGAAGGTGAGGACAGTGTAGACAGAGGAACTCACAACTGTTGTCACTGAAGTAGTTTTGCTGTTCAGTGCTTATAAGTTTTCTAATTATTTAATCATTTTGTTAATTAAGGGAAATAAAACTCGAATAATTGTTATTTCTTCAATGAAACAAATTAATGTCTATTGTACGGATAATTTGGTGTACAAAATAATTAAAAATAACATCAGAAATAATAGTTAACACAAATTTATAACAGTGTTGTAATTTCTTTAACTTAACCTAACCAATCAACAGTAAAAGAACAAGATTTATTCACTTTTTCCAAGTCCCAGGTTGATGATCTGACTCTCTGCCTCATTTACACACAATTACAGGGTCTCAATTGTTTCTCTGACAGCACAACTTACATATATTGTTTCTCACTATTGATCTTTTTGTGTTCTTTAATTTATTTATGGTTAGGATAGGATTGGTTAGGTTAGGTTAGGTTAACTTGACCGAATGTAAACCTTATTAACTTTTTCTCCACCAATTAACTCCCTGTTCCATCAATTCCTGTTCCGCTGATATAAACAAATGGAAAAGATACCGTAAAAGTTGTTGAATGGTTAATTATATTACAGTATATGGGGGAGGGGCGACCGAATACAGTGAGACCTCGATATA